TCCATTGTGTGTATGTACCATAGTTTGTTTATCCATTCATCTGTTGATGGGCACTTAGGTTGTTTCCATCTTCTTGCTATTGTGAATAATGCTGCAATGAACATGGGTGAAAATAAATTCTTAAATGTTAAAACAACCGTAAATAAGTGTAATTTCTATTGGCAAAGCAATGTTTAATCCTGGTAACAGTCTTTTGCCAAAAGAGGATAAACCCATGAAGCTGATTCCAACCCATAGCAGCCACATGTGTGCAAAGTAGAACTGCTCCACAGGATTTTCAAGACGGTGACCTTTTGGAAGTAGATCGCCAGGCCTGCCTTCTGGGGTGCCTCTGGTGACTTCAAACTGCCAGCCTTTCAGCTAGTAGTAGAGAGCTTAACCGTTTGTACCACCCACAGACTCCTGAAAATAGTGTTAGAAGGTGCTTAAATAAACTATGACAGTTTTTGGCTCATGGCATTTTTATGTTAAATCCTTATATATATCTTACATACTTTATAATAATGAATTTCAGATTCATTTACAAGGCATTCACCACATGTACAGAATGTTATATACATGTAACACTCTGCATGTTAGTGCACAGAACGCCCAAGCATTCCCATCAGGTGAAAGTAAAACAGTTTACAGTAACAATTTATTTAGAATTCTATCAGTAGCCATTTTATCATTACTTGATGAAATAAAAAACTGCAGTAAAACCAGTTGATTTAAGAGATACATATAAAATTAAATTTTATATTTTAAAAAATTGCTATTTAAAATTGGATGTGCTAGAGTGCTAACATCCCCTTGTCATTTTACAGCAGAAACACAAGGATTTCCTTGTGAGAGTTTGTATGCCCTGCTTAGTCAGTTTATTATCTGACTGGTTAGGGCTATTGCTAGCTGCTGTAACAGACACCATACATGTAAGAAGGCTGTAACAACAGAAGCTTATTTTTTGCTCTCGTAACAGTCTGAGGTTGGTATTCCTGGTAGGTATTCCTTGCAGAGAGTCAGTCACCCAGGATCCTTCTGCCCAAGGACGGGACCTCACTGTCTTCTACAGTCAGGTGGTGGAAGGGCAAATAAAGCGAGGAAAAACACAAATTCTTATTAAATAACACTTTTGACCTGAAAATGCCACCTTTGGAAATGTAACATCCTATTAGTGGGAACTGGTTAGGTGTCCACACATAGATGTGAGGGGAGTGAGGCTGGGGAACAGAGCCCATAGCTGGGCAGATGTTTCTCAGTGACAATTCTGTATACCAACTCCTCACTTAATGACATGGTTAGGTTCCAAAGATCAGGTCATTATGTGAAAATCGGCATTATGTGAAAATGGAAGATGACCACATCATTACATAACTGCCGAATTATATCATTACATAACTGCCAAACCACTGAGAATCATGGCCCAACCAAGCTGACACATAACCATTATGGCCGGCGTTACTCTTGCATAGCATCTTTGCATTTGTCACAGCCAAATATTTGTCATTAATGCACAAAATAGTAGGATAGTATATTTTTACTATTGTTGTAAATGCAAAATGTTGAATAATGAGATAGTCGATAAGTGAGGAGTAGGTGTACTATGAAAACGAGCACTATTTTTTTAAACAGCTAGCTATCTGCCACATTGTCTCTGATATTTTTGGCACAACTAAAACATTTTTATATCTGTCCTTCTTGTCTTATGCTATTTGGTTCACATACAAAAACTCCTAATTTAAATATATTCAGAATAGGCAAATCCATAGAGACAGATACCAGATTAGTGGTTACCAGGGGATGGGGGCGGGAGGGAAATGAGCTGTGATTACTTAATGAATGGATATGGGGTGTTTTTCTAGGGTGATAAAAAAGTTTTGAAACAAGAAAGAGGTTGTGGTGTCACAACATTGTGAATAACCTAAATGCCAACTGAATTATACATTTTAAAATAGTTAAATGTATGTTATGTGAATTTCACCTCAATTTTTTTTAAACCTTAATTTACTAAAATCTAGTTAAGGCAGACTAAATCTAATTCAATCTGTGGAAATTAGCCACTTGCTAAAGATTAACTTTTTTTCTTTCTTTATACGGTTTTTAATATGTGAAAAGAGAAACTTTTCTGAAACTTTCAATTAGGGGCCTTAACGTTTTGTTATCTGACTACCTTCACTGATATTGACAGACCAAACAGTGAGTTCAGGATCACAAAAGGAGCTCCTGTTAGTGCGGTGAAGTTCGTCTGCTGTCCAGGCATTACACCACATCTTTCATTTTCATGTGAATGAAGTTTCCCCACCCCCAAGATTTTTGTTTTGTTTTGTTTTTTGCTGAAAAAAAAAAAACAAAAACCTGCATTCTTTATTCTCAGAACCAGTAAAGATAACGAAAATGCACAATTATTCCAACACACTGGTCTTAACAGCATAAATACCTTATAATACATACACCTATTGCCATCGAGTCAATTCCAACTCATAGCTACCCTACAGGACAGAGCAGAACTGCCCCATAGAGTTTCCAAGGCTATACTCTTTATGGAAGCAGACTGCCACATCTTTCTTCCATGGAGCCACTGGTGGGTTCAAACCACTGACCTTTCAGTTAGCAGCCGAGGACTTTAACCACTGTACCATCAGAGCTCCTTCTTATAATATATGGATACTTCCAAATCTAGCTTTTACTGTTTTAAATTTTACTGAGAGCCTTCAAGAATAGTTCAGTTCAAAACAGAGTTTACAGGACAGGATATTTTTTATTAAACTTTTACATAAAAAGAAAAAAATACTACACAGGGCACTAATTACAAGTAACACCACAATTAACCAGGCATCAACCCTTTGTAAAGAATAGGCAAGCAATGTATCATTTTAGTAACATTTTTTCCTGGTCTTTCACTTTTTGTATCCTCTTTTCTTGGTTTCTTATCATTGAAGACATTGCTGAAAATGTTGATAAAACAAAAGTTAGAATAGCACAATATACTGAGGCTTTATATTCTATTAAGTGCTTCTTAAAAGGTCAGTACATTACTATAGAACAGATATATTCTGAGCTAAAGACATTCTTTAAAATGGGAATGTAGCATAATTTTTAAAAGGCTGGTGTTGTGGAGCAGATCTAAGGGTAAATCTTTATTCCTTCAGTTGTTCTAAATGAGCACAATAATTATTATTATAGAAATGTTGTTGTGAGGTGCTGTTGAATTGATTTCAACTCGTAGTGACCCCATATGACAGAGTAGAACTGCCTCATTAAGGTTTTCTTGCTGTAATCTTTATGGGAGCATATTGCCAGGTCTTTCTCTGAAGAAGCAGCCGGTGAGTTCAAACTGCTGACCTTTAGATTAGCAGCTGTGTTTATCCACTGCACCACCAGGGCTCCTTAAAGAAGTAATACATAATAATTGTAAATAATACAAACACTTCAGAAGTGTCAGTCTTCCTCTCTGTTCCCTCAGTTGGCTGAAAAGGCCTAGCAGTTCATTACTGTAAACAGTTTGGTTAATACGTGCGTGTTGTGCACACGCACACATGTACACACACACAGAGTTTTCTTCTTTATACAAATGGAAATGTGTGGTATAAATTCCTGTGGAGCTTGCTTTTTTTTCTCTTAACCAAGTGTCTACATCCTTCCAGTTCAGCTCATGTTCTCTTATGATGGCACACTATTTCATTATATGAATGTACCAAAATATTAGTAAATAAAATTTTAAAAGGTTGTTTCCTTTTTTTCTTTATAAACAATGCTGTAGTAGATACTTTTGTATAGAGTTTTGTGCATTTGTACAACTATTTCCTGTAAAATAAATTGTCAGAAGTGGAATTTCTGGGTCAAAAAGTGTGCACACTTCAAATTTTGATAAATGCTTCCAAAATTTTCTCTAAAATATTTGTTTCAGAATGTCCATGAGACATTCCATTCAGACATTCCATCTAAATAAAAAAGGTCTTTTTTTTTTCTAAAACAAATACATGTCATCCACTTGGATTTTTACATGGTGGCATTAATCAAATGAACACAGAACTATAAGTCAGTGTGAAGAAAAATGGGGGCAATAAGATAATGAATCTTCCTTTAAAACTCTGTTATAAGTTTAAAATCAAACACTATAATCAAAAACTAAAATCAAACACTTTTCAATACTCAGATA